AGTGCATGCTCAGTCCACATGGGGGGTCTTACTGAGATCCTGAAATTCTCAAATTTGTTATAGGCTTAAATGGAATGTAAGTCTTTGGCTTAGGACATGGACTTCAAGAAGTCAAGTACCACACTATTTTTTAAACAGCACTTATAATATAATATAATCTCCCATGACACAAATTATCAAACCCACTCTGGAAATTCTAACTCCATAAAAATAGAAGATTTACATCATGGGTTATGTTGGTTTGGGTTTAGTAGATGAGAAATAATTCTAGTTAAAATGCTTAGGTCTAATTTTCCTTTTACATTACCAACTCACCTTTTACTATTTGGTAGTTTTCCTATTTGTGCTATTTTTTATGTATTGATTTATATGGCTTTCAATATTAAAGAGTAGCATTAATAATATTCTGAACATAATTTGGGTGAAGGGAACATTTGGATGTGTTTGAAATAGGATTTCATATAAGGCAAAGGGAATAGTTACCAGAATAGGTATCCTCACTATTTTTGGGGGGTTCATTTTACCAATTTGCTCTTTTTTTTCCTTTAAAATTTTTTAATCTTTCTTTCTTTCTTTCTTTCTTTCTTTCTTTCTTTTTAATGCTTTATTTATTTCTGAGAGAGAGAGAGACAGCGTGAGCAGAGGAGGGTCAGAGAGAGGGAGACACAGAATCTGAAACAGGCTCCAGGCTCTGAGCTGGCTTTCAGCACAGAGCCCAACATGGGGCTCAAACCCACGAACCTTGAGATGAAGTCAGACTTAACCGACTGAGCCACCAGGTGCCCCTAATCTCTATTTAATTTTTAGAGAGAGACAGAGTGTGAGCAGGGGAGGAGCAGAGAGAGAGGGAGACACAGAATCTGAAGAGGCTCCAGGCTCTGAGCAGTTAGCACAGAGCCCGACACGGGGCTCAAACTCACAAACCGTGAGATCATGACCTGAGCCAAAGTTGGACGCTTAACCCACAGAGCCACCCAGGTGCCCCCTGATTTGCTCTTTGACTTTTACCATAATTCCAAACCTCTCCATACTTTGAATTTCAAAATTACTCCCAGTTTCACGTAATGTAGCAACTGGGAATGGAAAACACTCTGATCTGTAATGGAGTAAGTTGGTACCATATTGTACTCTATTGTATGTATATCCTACTTTGAGCAAATCCATGTGTTAATATCTACTTGCTCTGAAACTTGTGAAAATAGATTAGGAAAAAGTTAAGAAGAACTTGCCTTTGGACTCTCTTCACTGAAAGGAAACCGCCAACTAGTTCAAAGAGCAGGCCTCTTACTGTTCATATTTTGCAAACAAGATCATTTCTTCAACAAATGGAGGCACTTGGAACATTGTCAACTCAGATAAATTAAGCTTTGTGTCTCCCTGGTAAGTGAAACTGTTTAATGATAATTTTACTAGTCCATTTGGGAAGTGACCAAAGCACTATTAGATAAGTTAAAATTTTTAAAAAGCATGGAAAATACTATTGCCAACTGTTTCTTCTTGGCCTCTTGGCAAAGATCAACAGTTACATTCCCTATCTAGGGACTATCTCTTGTGGGCCAGACCGGATGATCTAATAGGTCTTTATAATCTCTAAATACTGTGACTTTTATCCCCAAGTGAACTACATAGTTTATTTACATAGAAACACATTCACAGGCTTAAGGAAATGCAGTATGACTAATGCTAAGGAAAGTGAGCCAGAATGACTCAAGTGGCTTTTTTTTTCTAAATAGGATAAGTAAATTAAAATCATAGACGTTCTCTCTAGTTCCCTTCCAGCATCTCAATATGTAGATTTTAGATGTCAGAATTCCCCAGTAGTGAATTATTTTTCTGCCACCAGCAAATTATAAACATATTGTCCTGTTAAATCAGTAAACCTTTGCCATACTTCTCAAGAAAACTCTTCAATGGAGATTTGGTTTAATTGTTGTTTTAATTTTACATTCTATCCCGGGCACATGGGAAATTTAAAATGTTGGGAATGATAGAAAAATAAAAATTGCCAGAAAAATACAAGCATGATAAATAAAACATAATCACTGTGCATTTCAACTTTATTAAGAATGTGTTTTTGTGCCTTGGGCTATGTTTATCAAGAAAAATGAAGCATTGGGAGGAATCAATTTTTTAATAAAACAATCGTTTCCTCGGGATTGTGTTGGCAAAGACAATGCTTTTAAGGAGCCTTTTTTCTCCCACTCTGTGTTGTACAAACACTTTATGCTTTCTCCATCAGGTGATACTTTGAATTGTCTAGGACTAACACTCAATTGATTTTATTGTTGTTGTTGATTTTTTTTAAATCAAATCTCCATACATGACACTGGACGTCCTTAAAAAATAAAGGGAGTGTCAAGAGATCTTACTTCCAGAGGAAGTAAGCTTCTCCACTGATTACTTGCCCAGCTTACAGGGGCATACACAGGTGACAAGAATGTGGTGAAGAGACACCAAATAAGAAGGCAGATGACAAGAGCTGACAAGACCCTACTATTACCCATGAATTGTGTTCCTAAGCCAACTGGATAGGCATCAGGCCATTCTTTATTTTCAGAGGAAGTGTCTGGATGATGATCGTTTCTGATAAAAATGGGGAGTAGTGAGGAATTCTGTCTGAGGGCTTGCCGATCAGTCCCTTCCGCTGCGCTTTCAGCTTCCCCAGCCCTGATTTATCATTTGAAAGTCCGTTCCAGTTTGGCACGAAGGAGAAAGGCCTTATAAATACAATGCATTACTTTCTGACATCCTGTAACTTACTACACAGTTGATTATGTTGCTTACCCTTAAACGAAAGCATTTTCTTAAGAGAGGACAATTTTTCTACGGGCTCTCTTATATAGTACATGCTACAAGTTCCATAAGTCACTCCCAACCCCCACTGTGTCAAGTGAAGACGTCTCTCAGGTCCCTTCCCACAATAAATTCAACATGAAATGTAGCATATATTCTTCATGCCGCAGTCTTTGGTTTTAGGGAGAGTATCACTCTCCAGAACATGGCTCATTTTACTAACTTATCTCCGTTTGGTGTCTCGTCACATTCTACAATGATTTAGCTTTCATCTCCATCACTTTCATAGCGCATGCTTTGAAATTACCCTAAAACTTAGATCCCTGCTGAGGGCCGTGTTCATGGTGGAGGATGCGTTTGTTTGGACTGTTTGTGTCCTCCTAAGTCTAGCTCAAAGGTCACCTTCTCTCTCTCTGTTTCCCTCTCACCTCCCTCAGGCAGCTCTTCCTTTGTGCTCACATAACACTTTGTTCAAACAGCTAGCATATCATTATACGAGTGCTCCACACGTCTGTTTTACTGAGAGCTTTAGTGAATTCTTTGATGGGACAGACGCCATTTCAATCACCCTTTTATTCTCAAGCAGACACATAATAGTTGCTTAACAAGTGTTGGCTCACTTGAACCAGATTTCCTTTCAGTAAACAATTTGATAGTCCCGTGATTTAGGGAGTGGTAAACTTAGCTACCATTTGCACACACACACACCCATTTCCATTCTGTGTTGCATTCTGTATCATCTACAGATTTTTTTCTTTCATTCTGCTATTGTTTCAGCGCACCAGATTGACTCTGAAATATGTTTAATAGTAGGATGTAGTTGATGTTGGGCTTTTGAAACATTTTCTTAGAATATTGGGGGTTCTCAGAAATGTAAGCATTCAGTAAACTATGGATACATAGAATAAGGCCCAATGAAAGACATTAATGCTTATCGGAACACAATTGACCACATTTTATTACTTAATTTTTATTTCTGGGGAATCACATGCAATTTCCCTACCATGGGATGAAACATAAAGGGGAGGAAATCTCCCTTGATGAAATCTACCCTTTTCTGCACTGTTTATTGAGTGTAAATAAGACCATCATGGTCATGAAGATGATGAATGGCTTTGCTTTGATGTTACTAACCTTCCACAGTTGTTGTAGCTTCCTACTGTGCCACATTTCTACTATAGTTTCTGAAGTTTTTTTAAGCTGAGGAATATATATTATGATGGAGGTGGTTAGTGAGAGCGGTTATTTGTTTCATTAGCATTCATTGTGCAAATGGAGTAGACAGTAAGTACTGAGTTACCTTTTTCGCTTACCAAAATTAAAATGTCTTTCCAATTAAGTGACATACTATCACAATACCAACAGCATCTAGCAATGTCTCTTCAATTTAAGAATTCAGTGAATACATTTTATTCATATGTTATCATTTATTTTTGAATCCCAGGAACGAAATAAATACCTCTCTCTACCTGAAAGGATCTCAGTACAGCCATGCCCAGAGAGTTGTTACGATAGTTAACCACTCATTGGTTTTCCCAATCAATTTCATTTCACTTTATCAAATAATTGTTAATTTGCCTCTCTTCTGTTCTCTTTTTTTAAATGTCTGTTTCAGGTTTTAATTTGTCAATAGTTAATCAGTAATTAACACTAACAATATGGGCCATTCACAATGTGCTGTATGTGTTCGATCTTCTCTGTTATACATAAATTATATATATAAATAATATATATAATATATAATTTATTCATTAAGTTATTAAATAATGCTTTACTGAACATTTATGTTAGGTGCTGTGGTAAATGCAAGATAGATATGATGTTTTCTGCCCTCAATGATCTTTAAATGTAGTGAAGAGAATAAAATAATTACTTCACAAATATAAATATATTAAATACAGTTCTGAAATGCTGCAGTGAGTCAGAGGAAGAGGATATTTCCAATCATAGAATCAGAGGAGGCTTCATGGAAGATAAGTCTCTTATGCAGGGGCTTGAGGAACAGAGATTAGGGACAAACTATTCCTGATGGAAAAACGTGAAGAAGGGGTTTAATTGGCAAGATGTGGGACCTATTTGGGAATGGAAATAGTCCATTTGGGCTTAGACATAGTAGAAGGAAGAAAAGACTTTACAAGTAATCTGAAATCAGTTCATAGAAGGAGTTGAATGCCATGTAAAGGTGTTTAGAATTTTGCCAGGTAGCTATGGGGATCAGGTAGGTTGATTAGCTGCCCACTTTAAGATGATTAATTAGCATATAAAGTGGACAGGATATGGGGAGACTAGTTAAGAACTTATTACGATAGACTCAGGTGATCCCTGTATCCATCTGAACTAGTGTGTGGGCAACGTGTGTAGAGAGGAGGGAATATTTGGTATATCTTGTATGTGCAGTTGGGATTCAACAGTAGATAAATAAGAATAAGGATGACAAATACTTGCCAAAGGTTGATTAAGTAAATTAATTTACTTTGGATTTAAACAATATGGTCTTGTGCAGTTTTACAGCAGTATTTGGCAGACCAGGGAGAGAAACAGGAAACACATGATGATACTGAAGATCAGAGTTTGGAAAATGAAAATATATAAAAGATCAGAAGATAAAGATCCTGGGATTCTAGTGAAAGCATCATTGAAATGTCTTCACAAATGTTATTGACTAAATAGAAGTTGAAGTGCAGCTAGAAGAGAGTGATTAACTGAGGAGATCTGAAAGAATTTGTGGGCTTCTTATATCACAAATAGAAATTGAGTGGAGTCTGGGTGGCTCAGTCAATTAAGCCCCCGACTTTGGCTCAGGTAATGATCTCACAGTTCGTGGGTTTGATCCCTGCATCAGGCTCTGTGTTGACAGCTAGCTCAGAGCCTGGAGTCTGTTTCAGATTTTGTATCTCCCTCTCTCTCTAACACTCCCCTGCTCATGCTCTCTCTCTCTCTCTCTCTCTCTCAGAAATAAATTTTTTTAAAAAATTGAAAAAAAACAAGTAGAAATTGAATACGTCCAATTCTATTGGAGGAGTGGATATGTAATAAGTAAGAGATTTCCAGAAGGTGGAGCTTTTCCAGATGATGACGAAGTTCAGGTTATGGCCATGTTACTGTTGACCACAGTCACAGAAATGAAAGAAGATAAATATCATTAGGCTTGATGAGGTCAGCCCACTAGAAAGCCCTCAGACAGCATGGAGGGAAAGATGATAAGATGATACAGAACTAAATTATAGAATTAAAACATCCCCAAACAGAGTGGAAATTCAGAGAGAAATTTTCATGAACTATCTCCCATCTCTAAGAAAATTGTGATGCTAAAACTAGGCAGGTCTTAGTGAAGAAACCCCATTCTTTCTGCTGGGCTCTGATTATTGAAGAATCCTTAGTTACCTTCTGATTTTTCAAGAATTCAATTTGCCACTTCAAATGCAACTATTATACTTATTCTCTTTTTCATTTAAAGCAAAAGTACATAAGTTCACAATCACTGGATGTGTTTTAGAGTACAGTGAATGCTCATTTATGAATTCCATATTTTCATGTTTGCCAACTCACTAAAATGTATTTATTTGTAGACCCAAATTAATACTAGCAATGCCTTTTTGTGGTCACTGGCAGACACGCACAGAGCATTGAAAATGTATGTTGCTCCATTCACACATTCCAAGCTGAGGTCAAACAAGGTCACGTTCTGCCTCCTTGTCTCAGCTCTCATACAGTGTCCTTTTTGAGATCTATTTAGTGCCACATTTTCCCCATTTTTGCACTTTTGTTAATGAAATCACTGTTTAAAATGGCCCCCAAGTGTAATGCTGTAGTGCTATCTAGTTTCTAAGCACAAAAAGCTATCATGTGCCTTTTGGAGAAAATACATGTGTTAGATAAGCTTCATTCAGGCATGAGTTATAGCTGTTGTCTGGGAGTTCAATGTTAATGAATCAACAAAATATATATTAAATAGGTGTCTTTAAACAGAAACACACATAAATCAAGGTTATGTATTGACCGGTTGATGAAAACATGACCGGAAGCTTGCAGGAAACACTCCTTGTATTTCCCCTGGGAGCAATTCTTCATTCTTCATGAATTCAGTGTTTGTGGCAACTCTATAGACAGAACTACTGCAAATAAAGAGAATCAACTGTACCTTGTTTGGGTTAAAGGCAGGTGTTTTAGTTGGTTAGATCCCCACTCAAATTCTTTATCACTAATGACCATTGCCTCCTCAAATTGTACAAGCTTTTCATAGACGCTATTCTCTTGTTAATTGGTTGATGAAAACCAAAATATGATTTATTTAAATGTTTCATTTCAAAGGAATTTTAGACTTAATAGACAACTTACAAAAAAGTACAGTGTTTCATCTAAATTTCCCTAATGTTAACATTGCTTATAACCATAGTATAATTATCAAAACTCAGAGATCGACATTGTTATAATACTACTAACTTATCCATAGACTTTATTAGAATTTCTCAACTTTTGCCTTTAATGCCCCTTTCCTGGTCCAGAGTCCACCCTGCATTTAGTGTCATGTTTCCTCAGTCTCTTTCCTTTAGTGAGAGTTGTTCAGTCTTTCTTTTTCTTCCATGACCCAGATATTTTTAATGATTACCACTGGTCAGGTATTTTGTAGACTGTCCCTCAGTTTGGACTTATGGGATGTCTTCTGATAATTAGACTGTGGTTACTTTTTGGCAAGAAGTCCACAGAAGAGATGATGACATCATAGCAGAGCCAGTGATGTCTCACTAGTCTTCCTAGTGATGTTAATTTTGATCACTTGGTTAAGGTAGTGTCTGCCATATTTTTCCACTATGAAGTTACTATTTTTCTCTTTGTTACTATATTTCTCTTTGTAATAAGACTTTTTTTAATGTTACAGTTTTTTAGAGTATGTTGTATTCCACTAGCAATTATCAATAATCATTCAGTGCTGAGCGCAGTGATAAGTATGTGGCTTAATTTTTAAATGGTATCTTTTTGTTCACTGGGAGCTGACATCTAGTTGGGGAGATAGGTAGGGCACTCACTAAACAGCACTCTACAAGGAAAGAAATGGAGAACTACATTATGGCAAATAGTATGGCACAGAATAAAAAGCTGGAGGAGTAGGGGAGGCATCTTATAGAAAGTGGCAACTCATGCCCGGCTTTGAAGGGCAAGAGGACTTTCCTAGGCAGAAATGAATAATTCAGGAAATTCAGTGAAATACATCATGTACCTTAGTTCCCTGGAAACTGTGTTAGAACCCAGAACTATATAGATAAAAAACACAATTCCTACCTTCAAGGAGTTCCCAGTCTAGTGAGAAGGACAAGACAGAGATATCTGAGTGGAAAGCATATATTATCAGTGTCATAGAGAGGTGGGTGAGCACAGTGTGTTATGCATGTGGGAGGGAGTAATACTGCACCTTAGAGGTTAAAAACCGACAAACTAGGGGGCACCTGGGTGGCTCAGTCGGTTGGGTAGCCAACTTCGGCTCAGGTCATGATCTCACAGTTCACGAGTTTGAGCCCCACATCGGGCTCAGAGCCTGGAGCCTACTTCGGATTCTGTGTCTCCCTCTCTCTGTCCCTCCGCTGTTCATGCTGTCTCTCTCTCTCTCTCAGAAATAAATAAACATTTGAAAAAAAAATGATAAACTTCATGTTGTCTAGACTCTGCACACTCTAAGAATAAAAAGAAAAGAAAAAGCTCCTGTCTTGATGTCACTGTGTCTGCACTTGAACTTTTAGTCATTGAAGTTAACTTATCAATACATCTTATTCTTCCGGTGGGTCTAGGTCTTCCTTCTGTTGCTGCAGGGAATAATTCTACTCCCTTTTTAAAAATGTTTATTTGTTTATTCCTTTTTGAGAGAGAGAGAAAGACAGAGTGCCAGTGGGGGAGGAGCAAAAAGAGAGGGAGACACAGAATCTAAAGCAGACTCCAGGTTCCGAGTTGTCAGCACAGAGCCCAGTGTTGGGCTTGAACCCACAAACCAGAAGGTCATGACCTGAGCCGAAGCCAGACACTTAACAAACTGTGCCACCCAAGTACCCCCTACTCCCTGTTTTTTTAAGTATAGTCCTAAAGGAAAAGACATAACATCCCTTCTTAATGTCCTCTTTTTAAGAGAAACATGAATAAATCTACATACTATATATGGCTTTTAGATCCTTCAGAACTCAGTGTGTTGGCTTGGTCCATACTTCCCTTAAAAATAATCCATTCCCCTGTACCCTGTTCCTCACATCCTCACCCTTATGCTGATCTCTTCTTCTGGGAATATTTTAAAAGAATTGTTATGTGAGGTCTCCCCCACCCCATTCAGTTGGAGTTTTGAACCTAGCATTCAAAACCTATTTATTTCTCTCATATTTGGTGCTCTTCATTTTGACCTCTAGTCAGAGTTCTCTTTGAACTTTGATTTTGTTGGCTGGCATAGCTTTTATTTGCTCTCACTTTTAATATCTGAAGATTTGATAAGAATATAATCTTTTTTCATCCAAGGATTTAATCAAATAAACAAGACAGGGTCAAGAACATAGCTCATGAGCAAACCATGTGTATCTGGTCATTTCACCATATATAAAGTTCCCACCTATACTGTCAGGCAGCCTCCGTGTCTCCCTCTGCAGGGAGTGCATGATAAAGGTCAATGCTCATTGACAGCGTCGAGCCTGACCCAACTAGAGCCCAAGGTAGCATGTTGGTCAGCAGTTTCAAATCAGGTTACACTTCAAGGAAGATGGGTTATATTATGTCACTTCCTAAAAGCCAGGAAGAGTTGTTCTTGCTAAGGACAATAATTCTTTAGTGTTAGGCTACTTGTGGGGTTTTCTTACGTGCATGGTCTTACAGATATGAGATGGCATAAGTTGTCAATGAAGACCGCGGGTTAGGGAATGACAAAATAAAGGCAGAATTTAACGCCAAGTATATCTGTATATATTCTGTTAATGGAGCTGCGGATGGACTGGAGGGGAAAGAAGCTGGAGAGAGGGAGGCCAATAGGGAGACCGCTGGAGTTATCCTGAAAGTGAGGGGGCAAAAAACTTCATCAAAGACAATAGTGAAAAGTTGAGAGGAAGGAACAGATAAAAGGCACACGGTCACAGAAGAGCAATAGACTTTGTATCTTTTGTAAAAATGGGTTTGGGGAGGGGGAAGCAGGGGCAAATCGAAGATTAACTTTCGTATTTTCAGTCTGGAAGAATGATGGCTGGAAAAAAAAAA